TCGAGGCTTAGTGTATCCCATCATGCATCATGTTCTGGAAATAGATCGTGAGACTTTTGCCGAGATCTCGCGAGAGGTCACGGAAAACTTTCAATGTAAGTTAAATATTAATATAATAGGCTAATTAGATATTATATAATTTGGCAGAAAAACAAAGTGTTGCCCGTTTAATTGGTGCAAAGATGAGTAGTGGTGATATTTATTTTGTACAACATTTGCAACTGCTTTTTATCACTTAGAATGTTATAGGGAATACTGAACATACATTTAGAAGTTAATTTTACAATGCTAAGTATTTAAAATAAAAATAAAGCTATGTAAACACTTGCATTTTTACAACACTATAAGTGTGTCCCATCAGGTAATGAAAAGTTGTACACACACTTGTGGTCTTCATGCTCACTTGAACACCTGGACCAAATACAGGAAATAAGTCATATAAGTGGTCAAGTGAAAAGACCGCAAGTGTAGGTATTTGGACAAAGCAAGTATCTAGTTGATGGAATGTTAAAACGGAGCATAACTAGAAAAATATATATTCTATATAGTAATATGCATTACTTTTTTGTCGTGATTAATCAGTACAAACATCAGCAACCTGATATTTTGTCAATCTGACAAATTACTTATCACGGAAAAGCTGTTGCATTGCACCTGGTGAAAATGTGTGGGGGAAAAGGTAAGTATTGATTTATTTTGACAATTATCCATAATTTCAACATTGGTGCATCTCTATTGCAATGCAATGGAAAATCTGGGGAATTTCATATATCAAAAGAACTCAAAGGGTGTCAGAACTCAAATCACACAACTGAAAAAAGACTGAGGTGCGAAAAAACGTGTCACATCAGACCCACACTAGGGTGATCTTAAGTATGACACTTTCACAAAGTTAACTTAGAGACAGCACTCTAGCTGAGCGACAGCCGAGTAAAACGTGCTAATGTGACAGATGGAAAGATGTTTTGAAACACGAGAGAAAGAGAGGAGTATACAAACAGCTGAGAGCGAACCTATTAGCATCTATATATCCATCAAAGCACTGCGGAAAACAAATGTCTGTCATAAGGGAGAAATCCATTAAGTACATTTAAGATCATTTGAAGCTGTGCTGGCATTCATCAGTCAGACTTATGACTGTGTGCAGTTTACGTCAACGCTCACCAAAATCTGTGTCTATGGGGAGGAGAATTTGTCACGCGAGGTGCTTTCGCGGAGACGGTTTACAAGTGCAATGAAATGAAGAGCGTTTGACTTCTAATTATGTTTTGAGTGTGAC